GGTAGACAGGTTAAGTAACTTATGCAAGGTAAGACAGATAGACGGGGGCAGAGACCACATGAAACAAACCCCAAGAGTTTGGCCCCAGAAGCAGTACTCTTACTCACATACTATGTTGTGTGTCTATCTAAATCCCTCATGGTTTATGTACTGGTTTGGTTGTTGTTGTTTTATATTAGTGTTTTTTTTTAACACTTATTTGAGGACTACTAGTCCAGTTGAAATATTGCCTAAGGATATATTCACTGTTTAATTTATCAGAAGTTAGGAATTCAGCATGATTTTTTTCACAGAAGTTTTAGCTAGGACTGAAATTATTTTTTACTTTCTAAGACTAATCAATAATCTTGCATCAATACTAATTTGTCTGACTTTCAAACTTCTTACAAGTAGAAAACCTAAGCAATCTGGTTTGACTGTCAACCCCTATGTCAGAACAGATGGTTTGCACACTGCTATGATTTCTATCAGCCTATGAAACCTGATTTTATCTTGCTATAAATTCTTAGTTCCTTTTCCTTTCTCACTCCCATCCATTAAGCTAATGAAATAGTTTTCGATTTCATTAACTTCCAAGAAATAAACATAAACTACAAACAGACTGAGATTTATACACACATGAAGTATACACACATGAAGTTTGTTGAGAGCAAAACCACTATATATCTATTTTATTGAGCTTACTTTTTGCTTTATGCAAACAAACTAATTTTTTTTGTGTGTGTATTAAATGTCAAAGAATTCATTATCTAATAAATTCAGTTTTTGATCCATTGACCTCAAGTCACAGTTGTAAAAATTTGAAAATGAAATATATTTGCTCTGGAAATCTATGGTATCAGATCCTGAACTCAAGCTATAATTCGTCAAAACCCAAATGCAATCCCTGTCTAATAAATTATAGGGGGTATATTTGTGAATAAGGCTGTTGTTCCTTGCTCAGTCCTCAGGAGAATTATTGAAGAAGCCTAGTCATTTAGCAAAGTTAGTGATTTGAATTGTTTGATATCTAATTAGTTTCTAATTAGTTTCCATATTTCATTATCTTATATGAATCTGCTTCACGGAAGTAAAATAGCTAACAATACTTCTGCTCATTCAGTCAAGTGAAACCTGTGGAGCAATAATAACACCTTGCCAAGAGACTCTCAGATGAGAAAGTCTGAGTCACAAATCAGAAAACAGGTCTCATCACATAGCAGAAAGTGGCAAGGCACTGATTTGTTTCCAGTGTTGAGTCTAACTGGCTATACCAAAAAACAAAAGTTGTCCTTAATGTGTGGGAATATTCCCGAATGGGGAAAGTGAGCAAACTTACACACACATTGTGACAACAGTTTGGAGCCAACAAATAACCACAAACTTGAATGACTAAATGAACAGATTAAAAAAAGGAAAAGATTCTGGGAAACCAAGGAGATAAGGAACAGAGTAATACTTAAAAACATATCCATGGGTCACAAAATCTTTGAGAAATTCACTCTATCCCCTTTCTGTGGAGGTTGTCACATCTCAAATGGAATTTGACAAAGTGGTTTAATGGCTGACATCAGCTGAAGATGTAGGAGCTACATTTCAGATCACAACCCATTGGTAAAACATGATGGTATTTAGAATTATATGTCTACAGTAGAGATTGCATGAGAATGAAGATTATTTGTAAATTTATTTATAAGAAGTAGATTTTGCATGCTAGACAGATGATTAGTGAAATGGAACAGCCTTATTTCAGTGTGTCAGCCCTTCATATGTCTCTCTATAGACTTGGAGACATTGACCATGCAGAGATACATGTAGGTGTTGAAGAGGAGAGACAATGAAGAAACAGATAATGAAAGGAGTAACACCTCAGATTCTGATGACCACAGGTGGAAAACTGGGGGCTTAGACAATTGGTTTTATCTTTTAGTTAACACATCCAGTAAACAGGCATCTTTTCCTTTATAAGTATATGAGGTAGGAGTGTTCAATATGGTTAAATCAAGCATGAGAACTATGGAAAAAAGAAATTGACTCTCTGTAAATTAAGGTTGGCTAACACATCATGTCTTCATGATCATTCTCTTACATATTTTTTCCAAACTTGCCTGGGCTTATTTCTAAGCAAGTGTTTTGCCTGCAAACAAATCTTTCACTCATTTCTGCTTCACATTCCTTATTTTACTTCCTGTTTTCCCCTTGTCTTATCTACTCCTATGACATCCTTGTAAGGCAGCCCTGTAGGGTAATCTCTACTTCATCTAAACCTTTATGTAATCTTTGAATGTACCGGTTGGCACTAACTATACTCAGTAGTTTATGGTACAAATCTTCCCTCTTGTGTTTTGATGAACTATTTACTGACACAGAGAGAGTCTTTGGTAGCTTCACCAATCTAGTATAAAGAATTTTAGTTATTTAAAATATGAAAAGAGAGATCATTTGAGCTTTTGCTTTTATTACAATCAAAATGGTAATCTTCCCATTCTAAACATATATCATTGGTTTCACATTTAACTTCCAATATAAGAAGCCAAAGGTAAGTACTAACTTACCAAGTTAGTACCAAGAAGCCAAAGTACTAACTTAAGCATATGATCTCTGATTTCTCTTCTCTGAACTCCCACACATACTACTCCTTCAGAAGTTTAGCAGAGCTCTGTGATATATTAAAATTTGCTGTCTAAATGTCAAATAAATATCTTGACAATTGGTTTCTGATAGATGTATACATCATTTCATGATACCAATTAGGCTTATGCTTGCTTAAAAACATCTATTCTAAAACTAAAGTTAGCAATTTGGATGTAGCCTAAATATAGAGAATCTGTAGATTTTAAGGACATCTGTGGTAGCTTAAAATAATGCATAGTGAAAACATATTTTGTCCAGTGTAGGCTGAGATAAAATTAAAAAGAAAATGTCAGTTTTATCACATTAAAATACATCCATGAAATCATTTTCTTAAGGTTCTCTGAAAACTAATCTGCAATAATCCAAAGCATTTTCAATAGTTTAATTATATTTTAAATGATGAATATCATCTGTAAACTCTCAAGGATTAAGTCATGGTATAAAGCCAATTTAATGGAAATTGATAGACTGTCTACTCTGGACTTAAAGAATTCAATTTAATGGTTAATGCTAAGTTTTCAGAACTAATTTGTAAGGTAAAGTTACACTGGGAAATATAAAGAAAGTGATATGATTCCTTTGTCATTTTTAGGTCATGATTTTAAAAATTTGCTATTAATTCTCCATTTCCATTTGTCAGTGACATTGATGAAGCTCTAAATTGATACTTCATAGTTAAGGACTATGTTTTTAAATAATCTCATTTCTTATCTGGGTGGCTAATCAACTTCCTCCTCCTTTTAATCAGTGTGTGAGAGAGAGTGTGTGTGTGTGTGTGTGTGTGTGTGTGTGTGTGTGTAGCAAGAGGGTCTTTGGCAGGCTGGTGGAATTTCCAGTCCCATGCACTTGCTTTATTATATTTTTCATTTTGTGACCAATCTTTCTCAAATTTTAAGTATCAATATATTTTAGATAAACAAATATTTCAACTTTCTTTTTTTCTAAAACTTTGCTATCTCTCTGACCTAAAGTACATGCCCTTCACCCCACAAGGTAGGGAATTCTTACTCTGTTACCTGATGTAAATGTGTACCACTTTTTCTTTTTTTATTTTCATGGAAGTCAGTAATTTTAACATAGAATAATAAATATAATTTATAAACAATACTTTGTTCAAGACAATTTATATGCCTGTGGCTGGTGGATTATTTCAAAAATTAGGAACATGGTATGTTTTTTGATATTGGGGTTGGAGAAAAGATGTCCTCTACTTAGAAAGTTGTCCAGGTTGACCAGGTGCTCTCATAGATTAGTCTTAGGTTATACTTACACTCTCAGTAGAAACTGCCCCAGTAAATAAGACATGTAATTAGCCTCTTTTTGGTGGAGTTGTAAAAGTAAAAAGCAGTCATCCTAACTAGGCATACAACTACTAAGACTTGTAACTCTAAAAACATCTTATTTCAGAAAGCATATATACAAATTGAGAAGGTTTAAATTTATTGAGATTGACAAAATAAAGCAACATGGAAACATTATAATCACGCAGTATCATGAAGCATGAAATAGATGCAAGAAGTTTAGGGGCAATAAACGCTACAGTGGCTAATGCGATGAAAAGTTACTGTCTGCTAGGATTATAAAATAAACTGTAATGAATAAGTTATTTTCTTTTTGTGAGCAAGAAATCACTAAATAAATTATCTGAATTGAGAACTTATTTGAAAATAAAGTTTGCTATAATTCAATCCTAAACTTTTGTTCTCTGTAGTATAGACAATAAGGAACTTCAACTTGAAATGCAAATTCTTATTTACTTCTAGACTATGTTTGAGTTACTTTGCTAAAAAAATTAACATCACCATAATTTAGTGATCCCAGGAGGTTATACGTTAAGAGTAAATTACACATTTTAAGCATAATTAGTGCTTGCAAAAAGGTGCTCATTATTTATGACTTATCCTCTTGCAAAAGTCAATAAGAAACTTTCATAATGTTTATGTAGATAGTCACATCATTTCTGCGAGGCGTGAAAAGAAAGATGAGTTAAAATTTTTTAAAAGGTGGGAGTACCTATAGAGTTCGGGTGATCTTCCTAGAATTAGCAACAAAGTCTACATTTATACCTGGCTCTGTTCTCTGTCTTCTGTTCTATTAAAGCAGCCTCTACTCAGATTAGAAGAGCAAAAGAAATGCAAGTATTTCACTTAATGGTAACTGAAATTTGGATCAAACTTTACAGTCAAATTAAAATACAAATTAAAACTCTGATTTTCTATGTGTCTTATATTCACAGTGAAGGTCAATGTCCTTTTGACTCATGTATATACCCTAAGAGTACTTTTTTCATCTATATAACATTGCCTAACTTAACTCTAGACTGCTATTTATTCAACACACAATGTGAACATACGCTTTCAAAATAAAAAGCAACTAGAATGACTTACATGGTAAACACGTCCAGTGTATCTCCAGCAGTCCTTGCCATCTCGAAGTAGGTCTGCAGAATGTTGACAGTTCCAGAAAGTGCTTCATGACCACAGCCACAGAACAGGGCAACACCAGCATAGAGCAGGATGGTGGCAATAAGAGAGGCATAGGGAATGCCTCCCAGGCATTTAATACAGCACTCAAAACAGCCTGCACAAGATCAACAGGAAAAGAAGTTAGAGATTAATATTTCTGTTAATCTAAATTTTTAAAAAAACTTCAGCATTATGGGGAAGTATAATTGCATCAGGTCAACCTTGTAAATCAAGTCCTAGGCTGGCCCTAGAGGGTATCAATGACAAGTTTCTTGATTATAAACCCATCCTCCAGACAAAAGAATGCTTGCTTCTGTTGATGGCCTCCCCCTCTACCCCAAAACCAACAGAACCTTCCTTTCCACCCAAACTTCCTATAATAATTAATCTTCACATGCATGCATATCATTCCATCTTGACTTTATAGCTCTCAAATTTCACATGCTTAAGTTTTTATTTCAATGACACTTTCTTTTGAACTCCTTGTAGCTGTATCTTTTAAATAGTGAGTCAAAATCTGCTACTTATGAACCCAGTTTACTAAATTTTGACCAGCAATTCTTAAAAGTGAAAGAGAACAGACTAGACAATATATAATAATGAGTGTATTGCATGTGGTAAGGCAAATTATTTTTGAATCTTTTCAGTTCAGATATTTATGTCTGTTGTTTTTGTAGTGACTCATAATGCAAAATCTATTTCTTGCTGTGGTGCATAATTGAAAAATGAGAAAGATACTGTCACAATAGAAAAGAGAGACAGGCAGGTTAGAATCCTGATCCATCACTGTACATTTGGGGGGCAAGTTTACTCTTTTGATTTCATCATTGGTAAAAAGGTGACAGTAAGAACTTCTTGCAAATGATTCTCGTGAGCATAAAATGAGTTAATACATAAAATAGTGAATGACAAAGAGTTCTCAATAAACATTTACCATTATTAGAAAATAGCAATTATTAATATTAACTGTTATTGTGTTATATAATATGGTTTTCGAAATTCTTTGGTCACCATAATCATTTTAGCTTTGTGAATCTTTGTCACTTTAGCCTCAATTTTCAAAAGATGGCTTTAAACATTTAGTCTGAGATATCAGAAAACCATGGTTGTTAATATTCAAATTAAAACCAGAATTTTCTAGGTGACTGCTAGGTATCTTTATCTAAGAGGTTAACTAGAAAACGCTTAAGTATGTATGTTTTGCAAAAATAAATATTGATGAGATACTATGTGTGAGCCACTGGTGAGAAAGGACAATTTAGGTAATAAGGCTGACAGGCTGAGGGAACTCCAAAGATGATGTCACTTTCCCCTTAGTCCACCTCTGTCCCCACTTCTTCCTCAAACATATTCTAGTACAAAGATTTCCTCCTACTTTTCTTCTTTTGGAATTTCTTGATCAAATCTCCTTATGTAATGCTGAAACCTCTCAAAAACTCTCCATTTAATTGACTTTTTCTTTCTTCAGAAATAAATAACATGAGATTGGAAAATGCATTCTTATTTAATGATATAGTAAGATCTGCGTGCACTTTATCTAGAATGTATATATTTTTATAGCAACTTACGATACGTGTAATGATTGCAAAGTTCCTCTGTAAAGTAACTTTAAAGATTCATAGGAAGGATTAGTTTGCCATTTTAATATTGATTATTGAACTGGCTTTGTTAAGGGAATTATGGATTATCTCATTTGCCCCAGAGAAGATCAAAAAAGAAGTCTGAACACCACCCCCCTTCCATAACTCTTGCATGTACAGACAAAATCATTTTCTGAACATTCCTTCCCCCAACACAGACACACACACACGCATGCACACACACACACACACATGCACACACACACACACACACACACAATGTGGGGAAGTAGGAAAGGTTAGAACAGCTTGACACTTCATTTGATAGGAGGAAATTTCACTGGCAGATGGATGAGGCCAGTGTGTGTAGTATCTGAATGTCATTGAACACAGTTTTGGGTGAAGATTAACAGGGTAGCAGAAAAATCTTTGGACTATTCTTTGTCTCTCTGTGCTATAAAATTTTGATATTACTGATTACTTAAAAATAAAGAAGAAAAATAAAATTAGTACCAACCCAAAGAAGAGTTACTCCTAATTTTGGCAAGTGCCCTCAACAGCCCCATGATCTCAAATCTGATTTCTTTGTGATTTATCTCCCCTACTATTCTCAAAGAATTTGAAATAGGTGTATGAGATTTCAACAGCAGACATTGAGGTAACAAAACCAGATTAACGTGTTCAACAAAACCCTCGGAATAGAAGTTCAACTATAAAAAATAAAGAGTCAAAACATCAAATTTATAGATAGGAATTACCTCTGCTGTGTCCTAGACCTAATGCTTACAACAAAGATAAAATCAGAATGAGAACGGCTTGGAAGCATATGAAGTGGTAAGCCCATAGGTGATCACCAAAGCTGGCACAGATGATTTCTAATTAATTCTATTACTAACTCACAGTCGTTTTCTACTCATTTCACATTTTCTCGATTGTGATTTAGATGGACCAACACTACCTGCCATACAAGCAAGTTAACTCTAGTTACCTAAACCCATGTGGGAGGGGGTGCTATTAGTGTCATACTCTGTATCATTTATTACAGCCTTAATTGAATAGTGACTTGTAAGTCTAAAAAAAAAACGAGAGAGAGAGAGAGAGAGAGAGAGAGAAATTTCAATATGGGTAAACACCCAAACTGACAACTCTGAGTTAACGGGCATTTCCAAATGAGTTTAAGATCTCCAAATTAAAATGGAAATATTTCTTTTGCTCCCTATTTAAATGCTGCCATTTAAATAACTCAAAATTATATTACCCCTATTGACAAAAATTTCTCCAAACCTTCATTTCTTCCAAATCAAGCTGGAATCTTTCCATTTAACTTCTGATCCTCTGCAAAACTTTTACTCAAAGAAAGAAACTTTAAGTAGCTCATCCCGCACATTTTGCACTTATAATGGGCTACAGCCTAATTACCCCACTCTTCCGCTGGGCCTGAGTTGCCTATTGGATTTAAATGAAGACTCTCAGAGCTCCCATCTGGGGAAGCAGCGCATCATTTCAGCATTCTCTCCAGCTGCCAGAATCCCACGTAGTTGCTGGCAGGGGAGCTTCTTTCCACCCACAGTGAGAAACAGCCTTGGCAGAGCAGCAGCATCACCATAGCAACCATGCTCTCAGGCCCAGGATATGCTCCCAGCCATCATCCTTCAAGGCTGAGGATTCTGCCGCCACCCATCACCATATTTTTACTGCACCTCAAATGAGAAGCCACTCTATTAAATGAATATCAGTGAAAGCATAGGACATAGAATGCTGGCACTGGAGAAACTACCTTTCTTGAAAAAATCTCTCTAAAAACAGAAACATTTCAATACTAGATATTATGAAAATAAGACCATTGATTCTCAAATAGACCTGGTGGTTCAAATACTGAACACAAAATTTACATGCTATAGACATTACCTTTATATACAAAAAAGCATTTTTCATATTCAATTCCTGGCTGCATTTTCTCAAGCAAATTAACACTATGACTTTAATTGCACATGAAAAAAAATTAAAGAAATTGAGATTTTCAACACTATGAAACATTAGTATTTGTCCAATGTTTTGTGGGATTATAGATTGATTTATCCTAATATAAAAACTTCAAAGAAAATAGAAGCTCTTGACATAGCCTATATTTTTTTAAAAGATGAGATATATAATTAATTTACTTTCATTTAAACATTGTAAAGTAGACATAAGCCTTTGCCTTTGCTCAGCCAACAACGTGCACCAAAATAAACAATGGGAAAAGAATCTAAACCAACAAGAAAAAGAGCATGGGAGACACTGCCGAGGAGGGACCAACACAATGACAGATCTCGGAAAAGAGATTGACAAGGGAGATTAATAAGAGACTGACAATTTATTCACTGACAAATTTTTCCAGCACCATTTACCAATGCGTTGATTCTTTCTCTACTCAGCTACAATACCACCTTGTCATTGCCAAGTATCCAGCATGGTCTGGGTCTGTTGGTGGGTTGTCCATTCTGTTTTATCAGTCTGTTGGTCTAGCCCCAGAACATACCACACTGCCTTATAGTATGTTTTGGTTTGTTGTGGAGAAAATTCTCCAACTTGTTCATCTTCCTCGTGTGTGTCACACTATTTTTTTATGTTACCATAGAAATTTTAGAAACAGTTTGATTCCACAATTTAACTTACTTAGATTCCAATTGATATTTTTATATTAATTTTATAACTTAGAAGTTTATAAAATTCTTTTCGGATCCTCTGAATTTGCATTCTGTGAATTATTTTGATATATTGCTGGCAATTACATCATCTGTGAAAATTATGAGCTTTTTTTTTTCATTATTTGTACTGTTTTATCTTTTTATTGACTTACTCTGTTGGGTAAATGTAGTGAGAAGAGCAGAATGATAAAAGCTATCTTTTCTTGTTCCTAATATTAAAGAAAACACTTGCCATGTTTTGCCATTAAGTGTAATGTTTGTTGTTGGTTTATTGGTTAAAGAAGTTCGCTTTAACTTTAGATTCCATAACATGCTTTTTTATCCCATCTGTTGAAATAATCTCATGTTTTTTCCTATCTGCCATTTTAATTTTTTTCTAATTTAAACTAAACTTGAATTCTTGAGAAAAATCCAACTGAGTCATACTGTATTTTTTAAATACATGGCTGAATTTGTCATGCTAACATTTTGTTCAATACTTTTGCATTTATCAATTCATTCCACAAATAGTTATTGAGTCCTCACCAGGTGCCAGGCACTAAAGTAATTGCTGGAGCTCTGGAAGTAAATAAAACAAGTAAAATCTCTACTCTCATTCCAGGGGTGAGAAATGATAATAAAGAAGATGGAGAGGTAATATATGTGAGGTTGTGGAAAGTACAGAGAAGAGAATCAAAACAGGAAAGAGGAGGAGGGAATATTGTAATAATGGCTCCAATTTTCAGGGAAGGGATAACTGAGATGACATATTTTAAAAGACATGAAGGAGGTAAAGGAGCCATCTCAGAGACCATCTGGGAGAAGATGGTTTCAAACACAAGAAAAGTAAATGCTACTGTCCTGGG